CACAATAAAAATGTCACAACGTATATCGCACAACCGATACTCTCTTTTCTAGCAAAATAGGTTCTACCACCTTCCCCCCCCCGGATGTATCGACTCCCCAGGAACCCATGCAAAACACATCTGTTTCTGACCCATGGCCCGTCCTGCCTGTGAGTTAACACTATAACTATAAAACAGTTGTTCGAGAACCCCTTGCACACACAAAAAAACAAAAAACAAAAAAAAACAAAAAAAAAAAAAAAAAAAAAAAAAAAAAAAAACGGGACGAAATGTACACGCGCGCGTCGTCGCGCGCGCATGCCGAAATCCTTCAGAAGCCTTCGGCTTCGGAAAGATGTCAAAAACGAGTGTCCTATAACAAGTAGATTTAAGAAAACCATACGTACTCCAACATTTTCATAAAACGCTACGAAACGAGCTTCGCGCGCGCGCATGTCGAACGCCGATTGCGCGCGTGCTGCGGTGGCACGACCCGCGTCAGATAATACCATGCGAGCCACTCTCGCGCGTCTGCCGCGCGCGAATTTCGAATTCCTTCCAAAACCTTCATCACCGACGCGACTACGCCGTCATCGTCGTCGGCGTGATCAGCATCGGCGCAGTCACTGGCTGCCCTGTCGTCGCTGTCAGCATCGCCATCAGCATCGCTACTGTCATCATCGTGTCTACCGTTGTCGAAGTTGTCATGATACCGCGCCCGCCCAAGTCGCCGACTCGCACTGAAGTGCCCGCTGGGATGTGCCGAACGGTCAGCGCCACCGCGTTCGCGTCGGTCGGGCCAAACTAGCTGGCCGCCGCGCGCGCGAGCATGCGCGGGCTAGCGCGGCAGCAGAGATGCACCAGCCGACACCCAGCACTCATCGCAATCGCTACCGCATGGTTTCTGCAGACCAAGTTGCGGGTGGGTGGGTAGGATGAATGCGCGAGAAGAGGAGTTGACAACTTCAAGTTCGCCAAGTGAATTGCAACGCATCGATTGTACCACATAGATTGCTCCGCATAAATTGCACCAGATCTGTTGCACCGCATCCATTGCAACGCATGCATTGCACAACATTGGTTGCACCACATGAATGCACTACCTATCGTGCTCGACATAGGTGACACCCCATAGACTGCACGACACTGGTTGCACAGCATTTGTTTCGCTACATATGTTGCACAACATAGACTGCTCCACCTAAGGTTGACCATACAGTTTGGTCCACGTAGCTTGCACCACACGGATGTCGTTTTCCCATATTGCACCACATAAAATGCTCCAGATGTGTTGCACCAAATAGATTGCACAACACATATGTCACCACATACATTGCACCACACAGATTGCTCCCAAGATAGTGATCCACATAGATCGCACCACCTAGATTGCACAACATAGAGTGCACCACATATATTGCACCACGTAGGTCCCTCCACATAAACTGCACAACCTATATTGCTAGAAGCACACTGTTTGGGGCACACACAGGCTAACCTGAAATGTACGTTGCAAAACATGGGAGGACGAGCAGGAGAACTGGGAAAGGGCAAGAGGCAAAGGATTCAAGAGAGGAGATGGCCGAGGAAGAGAAGACGGAAAGGGGGAAAGGGGGGGCGAGGGAAAAAAAGAAAAAGCGAGCAGCAGACGGAGGAAGGAAGGGAGGAGGGGAGGAGGAGGAGGAGGAAGAAGACGAGTAGGAGGAGAAGGGCGAGGCATAGGAGGGGGAGGAAGAGGGGGAGGAGATCAAGCCAGGTGCGCTCGCGTCATATCTGACGTCCTCTCCCTCCCTCCCATCCCTCACCAGGGCGTAGACCTCCTCTCTATTCGCACAATCGAATGTCGTAGCATGGCATAGCATTACATGGCACAGCATGGTGTTGAAGATCGACGCGTAGCATGACATAGGATGGCGTGGCGACGCCCGCCCCAAAGTGGGGGGGGCTTCTGCGGCCCAAAAAATCAACGAATCGGAACTGAATGTCGAATCACTTCCGATAGTTTCTTCGGAAGGCCATGTTTTTTATGTTTGGACCTATTTGGAAGGACCGACAAACATGCCGTGGCATGGCACTGGAAATAATGACGCCAGCGCTACAGCGGGAGCACGGTTCGGAACGAGCGGAAATGAGGCCAGCGCTGCAGCGTGAGCACGAATCGGAACGAGCAGAAGCGCGGAAATTAGGCAAGCGTTGCAGCGGGAGCACGATTCGAAACGAGCGGTAGCCCGAAAATGACGCCAGCGCTTGAGCGAGAGAAGCATTTTGAACAAAAACCCTAGCGCGGAAGCGCGGAAATGAGGACGCGTATCCTGACATAGCATGGCGTGGCGACGCACCAAAAAATGAGCCCAATTAATCAGCGAATCGGCACCGAATATGTAAGCATTTCTGATGGTTCTTTCGGGGGGCCATTCTCTAGATTTTGGGGCCTATTAAACGGATTTGGAAGGACCGAAAACGATACTGTGGCATGGCGCTGGAAAGAATGACGCCAGCGCTACAGCGGGAGCACGATTCGGAACGAGCGGAAATTAGGCCAACGCTGCCGCGGGAGCAAGATTCGAAACGCGCGGTAGCCCGAAAATAAAGCCAGCACTTCAGCGAGAGCAGCGTTTTGAAAAAATGCCCAAGCGAAAACCCGTTTCCCGGGAATCCTGTGTAAAAAGCCAGTACGCGGAAAGGGGCCGGCCATTTCCTGGACGCTACCAGGGGAAAGAGGAGAGTAGTATTCACATTGTTTACGTGTAGAAGGTGGGAATGCCAAGGCTACGGCAAGGTGCGGGAGGCGCCCTTGCAGCCCCCAGACCTAAGCTATTGTTGGCTTCGCCACTCCTGACAAACGTTCAGACCGTGATCCTCTGAGTCCCCAGAGTCCACCTGCCAGGAGCATCGGGGGATCCAGAGGACCCCGGCGCCCCGAAAGTAAGAACGAACAACGCCCGCCAAACACGGTCGGGAGAGCGACGACGCGGCGAACTCGCCGAGACGTCGTCGACGCCGACATGGTACAAGGCCCTGAGGCTGAGCCGGCGCGTCGAGCTCGTCGAGACCGTCGAGATCGTCGGGATCTCGGAGCAGGGCGAGCGAAGGCAACATCAGCTCAACAACGGCCCCCCAGACCCCTCCCAGCGTCCGAGCGTAGCAGATTCCCGAGCTGCGCCCAGCCGTGGCGACGAGGAGGCCCCCCGACAGCCAGCTACTGCTGTCTCCACGCGCCCTCCCCTGATAGACCAGCGAGATCGTCGGCGTCGAGATCGTCGACGAGGTGCGAGGATCGTCGAGGAGCTGAGGCAGAGCCAGGGTGGCTGGGCGCCGGGCCCGCTCAGCTGCCCTGATGTCCTTTTCGAGACTCTGCTTCGTTGCACCTGCCCCGCGCTCTCCGGGGGGGGGGCCTCGTCCTCCTCCTCCTCCTCCTCCTCTCCTCCTCCTCCTCCTCCTCCTCCTCCTCCTCCTCCTCCTCCTCCTCCGCCTCCACCTCCTCCGCCTCCCTCCTCCTCCTCCTCCTCCTCCTCCTCCTCCTCCTCCTTCTCCTCCTCCTCCATCGCCTCTTACTGATATTGCTCCTCATCCTCCTCCTCCTCCTCGTCCTCCTCCTCCTCCTCCTCCTCCGCCTCCTCCTCCTCCCCTCCTCCTCCTTGTCCTCCGCCTCCCTCCTCCTCCTCCTCCTCCTCCTCCTCCTCCTCCTCCTCCTTCTCCTCCTCCTCTTCCTCCTCATCCTTCTTCTCCCCTCCTCCTCCTCCTCCTCCTCCTCCGCCGCCGCCGCCGCCTCCTCCCCCTCCTCCTCCTCCTCCTCCTCCTCCTCATCCACTTCCTCATCCTCCTCCTCCGCCTCCTCCTCCTCATCATCATCATCCTCATCCTCATCCTCATCCTCATCCTCATCCTCATCCGCATCATCATCATCATCATCATCATCATCATCATCATCATCATCATCATCATCATCATCATCATCATCATCATCATCATCATCATCATCATCATCATCATCATCATCATCATCATCATCATCATCATCATCATCATCATCATCATCATCATCATCATCATCATCATCATCATCATCATCATCATCATCATCATCATCATCATCATCATCATCATCATCATCATCATCATCATCATCATCATCATCATCATCATCATCATCATCATCATCATCATCATCATCATCATCATCATCATCATCATCATCATCATCATCATCATCATCATCATCATCATCATCATCATCATCATCATCATCACATCATCATCATCATCATCATCATCATCATCATCATCATCATCATCATCATCATCATCATCATCATCATCATCATCATCATCAGCATCAGCATCAGCATCAGCATCAGCATCAGCATCAGCATCAGCATCATCATCATCATCATCATCATCATCATCATCAGGATCGTCATCATCATCATCAGCAGCATCGGCATCATCATCATCATCATCATCATCATCATCATCATCATCATCCTTCCCCTCACCCTCGTCATCATCATCATCATCATCATCATCATCATCATCATCATCATCATCATCATCATAATCATCATCATCACATCTGCTGCCGAAAACATGTCAGAGAGCACGGGAAAAGGACACAGCTCGAAGGCAACGGCGCCCGGACCATCGGCACACGCGCGGGCCACTCCTTTTCAGCGGTCGCTCGAACTGCTCTGTCAGAAAAGCCAGAAACGGGTGCGAGGCTGTAGCAGAAAGAGTTCCTTCCTGAGGCCGGGCGGCCCTGGTGAAGGGGCCCTGGGACACACAAGTAAATACGCACAAACAAAAAGATTCCCCATATTTTCCCAATTTCCTGGGTTTCTGTCTTCCCCCCCAGTGCCCACATTTTCCCATATTTCCTGCGGAATCGACGATTAATTGTGTCTGTGTGTTTTTTCCCTTCCTGATGGATGAAGAGGTGGATTCGCGCCTCCTGGGCCTGGCCAACACACTGGACGCTGGAGCAGAGACGAGATAAGGCAGCGATCAGAGGAGGGGGAGGCAAAGACGCTCGAGAACGAGAGGGAGCCACTGATGAGCAGTGGAGGGGAAAGCGTGGCCAGAATCATAGCTCAGACGGGCAGGGAGGAGGGAGGGCGCGGACTCCGGAAGGGAGACAGTGCGGGCTTTCGCGTCTGACACGAGGATGTTCAGGCCATGGGTCCTGGAACTCACGAAGCCCCGCTGCGCGATGTCGATGAAGGCGGGGAGAGACTTAGAGAGTTCCCAGGTGCAGACGCCGGTCATGATTCTGCAATCGCAGCTCTTGAGGCCCAGGGGTCACGTTTGGAGAGGCTCTCGGCAAATAAAATCATCGTCTTCTGAAAGGTCGCCCTTGGGAATGAAAACTCCACGAATTATTCCACAGTCTGGAAGCATGCTGTGACGTTGCAAACACCACCATATTGATTGGAGCAGAACTTCACTACCTGCAGGATGCGCAGCCCAAGCGGCGTATGGGAGCCCATATACTCCTGGCTTGCTATGTTTGGACAGACGGATGCATTTGTCCACGCTCTTTCTCGTTGAGGAGGGCAAGTTCCGAAGGTCGGCATTCGGGGCGTCTTTGTCCGGGCAGTCCCGAGCCGCGTCGGTGCCTATTTTTCTCGGCAAAGACCGGAGCCCGGCCGTCACCCGGAACACGGAGCTTCTCTGCGGGGTCTTCGTGGATGGCTTCACCTTGCTTCACTCCTCCTCCTCCTCCTCCTCCTCCCCCTCCTCCTCCTCCTCCTCCTCCTCCTCCTCCTCCTCCTCCTCCTCCTCCTCCTCCTCCTCCTCCTCCTCCTCCTCCTCCTCCGGGTCCACCATGTGGCTCTGCACGGAAGGCCGCGCATTCTGCGCCCTCGTCTGGCAACAGCTGCTGCGGGGGCATCAGAGGCCCTGCTTCCCGTCGCACTGCTGCGACTGCACGGTGAGAAGCGGCGAGCTGGGCCCCGCTGGCGGCCTGGAATAGAAAGCCTCGGGGTCCTTTCGCTTGATGGTAGCACGCAGCACGTCCACATCCGTGCGTTGGGAGGCAAGCGGGTGAGATCGGAGAAGACGATTCGCCAGACGGAGATCCTGGTTCCAAAGCGCCCTGGAGATGGATTTCAACACGCTGCTCATCCAGGACTTCGAAAATGCCGTGCACGTGCGCGGCGCTGTGCAGCTGGGTGAGGGCCCACCCAGGCGCGGAGACGAAAAGTCTGTCGATGCGGCTGAGCGTGTTGCTAGCTTTGTTGTAATGTGTTTCCCCTTCCACTTCCACCTCCGTGAAGCTCCTGAATATTCTATATCCACGCCGAGTCCTCCTCCTCCTCCTCCTCCTACTCCTCTTTCGCCGCCTCCTCCTCCCCCCCCCCTCCTCCTCCTCCTCCTCCTCCTCCTCTGCGGATCACTCAACCTTGCGACAGCGAGGGTCGTTCGACGTCGGCAGCCTCCGGGCCACTGGCGGCGTTCTGCCTTGAAGGCCTGCGCGGGGGTCGCCACCGCGTCGACAAGGCGCGGACCTGCTGTCAAGGTCGACCGTTCTGCTCCACCCTCCTCCCCATCCAGGAGGGGTGGGAGGGACAGGGAGCAGCAGCAGGAGAAGGGAGGAGAGAGGAGGGAGAAGAGGAGGAGCAGCAGGCAGGAGGGGGGCAGGAGAGAAGAGAGAGGAGAGAGAGCAGGAGTACGAACAGGGACCCCGCCCCACACTCGTCGCGCTTGTCGGAGTTGTCTGTTATCCAGTCCTCCCGGAGCTTCTCGATGGCAAGGCTGTACTCTTCGTCCTTCTTTCCGAAGAGGTCCTGGGCACTGCTGCCGCTTGTCGCGCGCGGAAGGAGGCTGCAGCAGGCGCGGGGGCCGAAGGAAGGGAAGAAGGGCACTTGCCGTCGCTCGGGCGTCCATGGCCCCGTGCATTTGTTGGCCTCGTGCCCGTCGTTTCGTGCACACGTCCGAACGATGCCGAGGGCCGAGGTCGAGGGTTGAGAACAAGAGGTCGCAGTGGTAGCTGACACGGGCGATGCGACGGCCGCCCTGCTTCGGTGAGGCACGAGGGCGGCGGCGGCGGCGGCGACAACTGGGCAGGAGGAGCCCCGAATCGAAGCGACGAGTCCGATCGGCAATCGAAATGGATCGGATCGGCGGGCATCGGCAGGCCGGCAAGGCCTTCGTGGAGAAAACTCGGCGTCCGCATCGGAAGCCCACGTCGAACCGAAGCGGAATCGGAAGCCATCGAAATCGAATCGACCCAGAGGAGTCGAGACGAGCCCTGACGGGGGATGGGGCCGACCTGGATCACTCACTACGGGTTCGTGTCGTGTCGACCCCCTGCGTTGGTTCCCGACACCGCGGGGATCGCTCCACCTTGAACGATCGGCCGCTTCCGAAACGTCAGATCGTTCAACATCGACCGATTCTGGGTCGCCGGCGGCCAACGTGAAGGGGCCCTGGGACACACAAATAGATACACACACATAAAAGGATTCCCCGTGTTTTCCCATATCTTCTGGATTTCTGTCTTCCCCCCCACGTCCCATATTTTCCCATATCTTCCTGGGAATCGACGATTCATTGTGTCTGTGTTTTTTGTCCCTCCTGAGAAACGTCAGATCGTTCATCTATCGACCGGCGGCCAACGCTGGAACGCCAGCGGCGGGGTCGCCGCCGATCGACGCGACTCGAGCCTACAGCACCCGTCGGTCGGAAGAAGCTCGAGGTAGGGAGTAGTAGCGTCGGTCGACACGGCTCGAGCCGTGTCGAGCTCGGTCGACACGAAGGCGTTGAAGCAGATCGGATTCCCGCCCCGCCCGCCCCCTGAAGAGGAGGCAGGAGGAAAAGCCGCTCGGCCCCTGAAGAGGAGGCAGGGGGAAAAGCGCAGATTGGGATCTGAAAGCCCAAAAATACCTACGTTCAACGACCGGCGTGCAACCCAAGCTGCGGGCGGACTGGTCTTCCTAATCCTGGCTTGTTGCGGCATCCGGGGGCCGGTCTCGGGCCCCAGAGAGCCGCCAGTGGAGGCCAGTCCACAAGAGGCCTTCCTCCCACAAGAAGCCCAACCCTGAACCCCAGGGCTTCCCCCTCGATTTTTGCTGCGGGAACGTCACGCTTGCCACAGCAAAGCCGTCGAAACCCAAGAAACCGAAGGGGCCCTGGGACACACAAATAAATAATCATACAAATAACAGGTTGCCCCAAATTTTCTCATATTTTCTGGGTTTTCGTCTTCCCCCCGACTTCCCATGTTTTCCCATATTTTCCTGGGAGTCGACGATCAATTGTGTCTGTGTGTTTTTCCCCTTCTGAAACGTCAAGCTCTCCACGGTAAAGCCGTCGAAGCCCCAGAAACCCAGGGCACCACCCTGGAGGCAAGCAGGGTATTTCTTGACATGAAGCCTCCGCTGTAAAAAGAAACCCAGGAAACCCAAGAAACCCAGGGCACCCTGAAGGCAAAGCCGTCGAAAGCCCGAGAAGCCCAGGGCACTCCGGAGGCAAGCGGGGTGCTTCTTGGCAGGAGGCCTCCACTGCAAAAAAAGAAAAAGACCTGGGGCGACGAGCTGCCCCTCTGGGGGGAGGGGCCTGGTGCTAGGTCGGGCACGTCCTCCGAATTACAAGCGGATTTTGGACAAACAAAAAAAAATGCTCCACAGATCGTCCCCGGACTATTTGTCTGGACTAATTTCTGAAAATATTCTCCCCCTGTAGTGGGACAGGCCCGACTTCAGGCCCGGGCGCCCGCAGATCTGCACGGCAAGGGCAGAGAACCGAAAAGCATCGGGAGGCTGGGCAGGTCCGCGGCCGCGGTGACCGCAGCAGGCTCTCCTCCGACGCCCTCGGCGCCATCTGGCCTCCGAGAACCCTCCCGAGCCCCCCGTGCACAGCCTTCCAGAGGGCAAATGTGCAGAGCAAGGGCAGAGAGCCGACAAGCATCGGGAGGCAGGGGGGGGTCCGCGGCCGGATCGCCGCCAGGCTGGGCAGGTCCGCGGCCGCGGTGACCGCAGCAGGCTCTCCTCCGACGCCCTCGGCGCCATCTGGCCTCCGAGAACCCTCCCGAGCCCCCCGTGCACAGCCTTCCAGAGGGCAAATGTGCAGAGCAAGGGCAGAGAGCCGACAAGCATCGGGAGGCAGGGGGGGGTCCGCGGCCGGATCCGCCGCAGCAGGCTCCTCCGGACGCCCCTGGCAGCCGGCCTCTCCGAGAGCACCCTCCCGAGAGCGCCCCGCGTGCACGGCCTTCCATAGAGCCTCCCAAGGCCTCCGATCGGCGGCGCGCCCGCGGGGGGGGGGCGGAAGCGAGAGGGGACGGGCCTTCTCTGGTGCTGTTCCCGTCGTACTGGAGGACCAGATCCCGGGAATCCTTTCGAGCAGTCCGGAAAATGTCGAGACGGCGTGGAACGAGTCTCGCCTCCCAGGGCCCGACACGGGAAAACCCTCAGAATCCGGTACTTTTCTGGTGCTCGAAGTTCTTGCTGGTGGTCAATGCTAAAGTAGGTTGGAACATCATGAGCCATCTCAGAGGGCGGCAGGGCTTCTCAGAGGCCTCCTGGCCTTCTGAGAAGCTGCCTCCGTCTTCGGAGGAGGCCTCGAAGGCTCCTCGACCTGGCCGGAGGCCCGCCCCCTCTGCCTCGTCCCCCACTGGGCTCGCCGCCGATCCCGAGGGGACCTCCGCAGAGGCCTCGAGGAAGCGCCGGGGGCCTCCGCGGGAGGCCTCCAGCCATGCGAGCTCGCGCCTCGCGCCTCGCGCGAGGGCCAGCGCTCCTCGCGCAGCCACGCCGCCCGCACGGGGCTGGCCAGCCCAGCCTCCATGGAGGGCAGAAAGTCCGCCCCGAGAAGGACCACCCCGACACGCGAGGCCTCTCTGGCAAACGCGCCCCAAGAAGGAGTCGAACAGGGCAGGGCTGGTTAGTAAAGGCCCAAGGCCGTTTGGTAAATGCCAATTGTCCGGCCCGGGTGGTTTTTCCGCCCTTGACTCCAGCCCGGAGGGGGAAGCTAGAGGCCTCCTGGATGGCGTGGGAAAAGTGCAGGGGAACTGGGACACACAAATAAATACACACAAATAAAATGATCCCCCATATTTTCCCATATTTTCTGGGTTTTTGTATTCCCCCCCACTTCCCATATTTTCCCATATTTTCTGGGAATCGCCGATTAATTGTGTCTGTGTGTTTCTTTCCCTCCTGAAAAAGATGGGGTCGGGGGATCGCACCGCATCGCCGATACACCGGCGATGCATCGGCGACGCATCGGTGATGCAGCGGCGATGCACCGTCGACGTCGGCGATGCAGCGGCGACGTCGGCGTGGAGAAAACCAGGCTCCGCATCGAGCCGCATCGGCGATGCATCGGCGATGCGGCGCGATCCTCCAACCCCCATCTGCTCCGACCCCATCTAGGAGGCCTAGAGAAGCGCGGGGCGTGATGCTCCTCGCGCCTCCGTGGGGGGAGCCCCTGCCGTGAGGGCCTCCCCGGTGCGCAGCGCTGCGGGGCACGCGTGGCCCGAGGAGGCGAGGCTCTGTTGAGGCGGCCTCTCAGTTCAGGCCCTGCGCCGTGCCTGCGGGCTGCAGCTGCACGGGGAGGCCGGCTGCGCGTGACGTGGGCGGCCCGGGCGAGGCCCTGAGAAGCTGCTCCTGGACGCCGTCGCCTCGGGATGTCGTCACCCCCCGGAGCGGCCGTGGCCTCTCGAGGTGGAACGCCAGGCGACAGCGGACTCCTAAAAGCCGCAGCCTCTGCATCGGCAGCGCGCGCGGGGGAAGCGAGGGTGGACGAGGCCTCCTCAGAGGGCGGCGGGCCTTCTCGGAGGCGCTCCGGCCTTCTGGGAAGTTCTCTGTGTCCTTGGGGAAGGCTTACAGTAGGAGCTCGACCACGAGAAGCCTTCCACAAGAAGCCCAACCCTGAGACCCCAGGACGTCCATGGATCTCTGGTGCGGGAAGAGCGTCACGCCTTCCACAGCAAGACCGTCGACACCCAAGAAAGCCAGGGCACCCTGGAGGCAAGCAGGGTGTTTCTTGGCATGGGCCTCCACTGTACACGTGGCCGGGAGGAGGAGGAGGAGGAGGAGGAGGAGGAGGAGGAGGAGGAGGAGGGAGGACGTAAAAGTAAGAAGGAGGACGAGAAGAGGAGAGATGAGAGAGGAGAGAGGAGAGAGGAGAGAGGAGAGCAAGGTGAAGAGCAGAAAAAAGGAGTAGGAGGACAAAAGAGAGAGTGGGGAGGAGGAGGAGGAGGAGGAGGAGGAGGAAGATGGAGAAGGGAAGAAGCATGGAAGGGGGAGGAAGAAGGAGACGGAGGAGGAGGGGGAAGAGGAGGAGGAAGATGATGATGATGATGATGATGATGATGATGATGATGATGATGATGATGATGATGATGATGATGATGATGATGATGATGATGATGATGATAACGATAACGATGACGATGACGATGACGATGACGATGACGATGATGATGATGATGATGATGATGATGATGATGATGATGATGATGATGATGATGATGATGATGATGATGATGATGATGATGATGATGATGATGATGATGATGATGATGATGATGATGATGGAAGATGGAGGCAGATGGAGGAGGGACAGACGGACGGACGGTCGAGGAGGGAGAGGGAAGAGGACGCGCGGGAAGACACAAGAACGAAGGCGATGGCGAGGGGGACGACGGCAACGACGACGAAGGCGACGGGGCCCAGGAGCAGCTCGCACAGAGCTGGCACAACACCTCCTGGCCTCCGCGAGAGAAGGGCCGGGAGCGGCCGGCCGGCCCGCGCAGGTCTCCGGAGACCTCCGAGGGGGCCTCCGGTGGGGCCTCCGCGAGAGCCTCCGAGCCCCGAGAGCCTCCGCGGGCCTCCCTTGGGGCCTCCAGAGGGCAGACGGCAGCTGATGATCAGCTGACGCGCGTCGCTCGCCTTATGCTGCTCCCATAGTACGTAGGGACCACATCCCAGAAATGATTTCGAACACCCAGAGAACTGACGAAACGGTGTCGAGCGAGAATCGCCTCCCAGGGCCCGGCACGTGAAAACCCTCAAGTTTCGGTAGTTGCTTGGTGCTCGAAATCACCAGGCTCGCTGGCAGCTCACGCATCTGACGCTGATGGCTACAGTGGGGGCCGACCAAAAGAAACCTTCCACAAGAAGCCCAACCCTGAGACCCCAGGACGTCCATGGATCTCTGGTGTGGGAAGAGCGTCACGCACTCCACAGCAAGACCGTCGACACCCAAGAAAGCCAGGGCACCCTGGAGGCAAGCAGGGTGTTTCTTGGCATGGGCCTCCACTGTAGCGGGTGTTGGATCAGGAGGGAAACGACCCACGGACTGCAGCGGACGAAGGACGGAATGGAACCAGCTCGGCCCGCCGAGGAGGCGGGGCCTGAGGGGCAACGATGGGGGGGGGGAGCTCGGGGGGGGAACCTCTTGCAGGAATCGGCGCCAGGTTGGCGATAGATCATCTATCGATCGGCATTAGGCTTCTTAAGTCGGACGTGCCCCCCTACATGCGGAATTTGCACGAAAATACGAAATACTCAAGGAAATGTTCAACAACATAATAGTTTTCGCTATCTATGTATGGGGAAACAAAAAAACTGTATACGTGTATAGGTATATGATAAAACAAAAGGTGTTGCCTGTCTTTGAATATTCCTCCAGTGGAGGGACAGGCCCGACTTAACGATAGGCCCCCGAGGACGAGTCCGCCTGCTCCCGGGCGGGGTCCGCCATCGGGCCCACCATCGGTCGGCGAGAGCTGCGGAGGCCGATCGGGGGTCGCTGCGCGTCTCCCTCGCTGAGAGAGCCCCTCCGCCCCTGCCGCTGCCCGCTGACCTCGGGGAGCCCGCCCGGGAGCGGCGGAGGAGCTCCTGTCAGCCAGCGTAAGGCATAGGGATAGGCACAGGGGGAAGGGGATGGGCATAGGCATAGGCATGGCCATAGGAAATCAGGGGGGGCATAGGAATTAGGGGGGGAGGGGCTACGGACCAAATAGGGCAAGCCTTTTTGGAGAATGCAATCGGTGCGCACGCGCCCGCAGAAAATCTCTGGCAAGAAACCCCACCCCGGAAAAAAAAATCCGCGCGCGAGGCGCAGCCGGGGGGGGGAAGCCCCAAGAGCACCCGGAGCGCCAGCAGCTTCTCTTCCACAGCCGCGCGAGGGCCCCCCGCCCAGCGCAGGAGGAGAAGAGAGGCCCCAGGTTGCCCTGGCCAAAACGGTGTGACCTCATTGTGGCACACTCGCTCTGCATGCTTTGCCGTCCTTCGTGCGCTGCGGGCTGGCGGCGGCGAGCTCGGGGGGAAGTGAAAGGGGGCGGGCCGTCTCGGAAGGCGGCGGCGTTTCTCACAAGCCCTCGCGCCTCCTCAGAAGCCGCCGGTGCCTTCCGAGCAGGCTCCTGCCCAGAAGGCGCGAGGGCTCCTGAGGGGCCCCGCCGCCTTCTGAGAAGGCCCGCCCCCTCTCGGCGACTCCGAGGGGTGTGGTTTGCAACCCGCCCCCTACGGGGGCGGGCGAGGACCTCGACAGGGGTCTCCGCCGCGCCCCCTGGAGGCCCGACCATGGCAGCGTCGTGCCCCCCGAGGCCTTGCCAACGCAGACCGCAAAAACCACACCCCGGCGCAGGACTAGCCACACCCTTTGGAGTCGCGGAGCCTCTCATTTCCCCCAGGGCTCGCCGCCGAGGCTGCCGATAGCTGGCCGCCGAGAATGGCGGCGGCGATGCACCAGGGACGTCGGTGATGCATCGGCGCCGTCGGTGTGGAGAAAATGCAGCTCCACATTGAGCCGCATCGCCGATGCATCCTCCGATCCCTCAACTTCGACCCCATTTGGGAGGCGTAGACTCGGGGACGCACTGACCAAAGTCAGTGCAAACCTGGGCCAGTCAGGCTTGGCAAGATCCTGCAAGCTCCTGCAGGCTCCTGCGGCCTATGACCCTGGGTCAATGCAGCCGTGGCTCTGCATGATCCTGCAAGATCCGGCGCTCTGGCTGACCCCCGTTTGCAATGACCACCGTCTCAAGTTCGATGGCAAGTCATGGGAGCCTCCCATACCATCTTGTCGGCTCTTGCGAATCGACGCTAATCGAAGCAAAGTCGACGCTAATCAATGCTAAATCGACCCTATCGACGCGAACCGACGCTAAATCGGCGCTATCTCATCGACTCTAGACGCGAATCGACGCAATCGACGCTAAAGACGGAATTAAGAGGGTATACCAGGCTCCCATGATTTGCCACAGAACTAACCCAGGGTCAATGCAGCCCTGGCTTTGCAGGATCCTGCAAGGTCCGGCGCTCTGGCTGATTCCCGTTTGCATCGACCCCCATCTCAAGGCTCCCGGTACAGTGGAGGCCATTGGCTTCCGGTGTGGGAAGAACGTCACGCGCTCCACAGCGAAACCCGAGAGAAGCAGGCAAGCCTTCCTGCAGGCAAGCAGGGTGCTTCTTGGCAGGGGCCTCCACTGCACGCCCCTCTCGCCTCCCCCCCCCCCCCAGCTCGCCGCCGAGTCGGGCGGCGGCGGGCTCGCCTTCCGGACCATGTCCAGGAAGCTCCTGGACGGCACCGCCATCGCGCGCCCGCCGGGCGCGGCGGCCCGCGGGGGGGGGCGGCGGCGCCCGGAGGCCGCGGGCCCCAGGGCTGAGACGTCGGCCCCGGGCGGAGGGTGGCGCGCGAGAGGCAGGCCCTGAGGTCCTGGCGCTGCGTCGTCGCTCGACTTCGGGCCCAGAGGGCCCTCACAGAGCGACGCGGCTCGAATGATGACGCAGCAAGATGCGGCCTGGGGCTCCGGGCGCGATGTTGCCCTTTTGCTGCAACCTCGGATCTCAGGGGATGAGCATGCGTGGGGGGAACGCAAGAGAGCCCAGAATCGAATCGATGTCGGACCTGCGATCGAAATGAATCGGATCGGCGGAAATCGGCAGCCGAGTCGGGAAGAGTCAAATCGGCGGACATCGGCAGGCTGGTACTCCTCCGGTAAGGAATCGGAACCCCAGCCGGAACCCGACGCCGAATCGGATCGGCATCGGAAGCCATCGACATCGAATCGAATCGCATCGG